CCTTGTTTCACTGTTGTTACCGTTTCATGCACCGATAAACCGTCTGGCCAGGGCGTTAATTCGTCCGGTTCAAACAACACAAGTGTAGTTTCTTCTACCGGTCCAGTATTCGCTCGACAGTTAACTTTAAATGTTTTCTTTGCCGGAATAACAAAGTCTTTCTTTGGGCTCTTAATCGTGCATAGTTCATTTGCTCTTGCTGTCTGTATCAGTCTAACCAATTCGAGTAACACTTTCTCATCAAAACCTTGAAAACTAGCTTGTACTGTAGCAATATGTGCTGACTGAATATCAGATGTATTCATCGGCTTGATTAGTTCTTCAATAACATTGTATCCAAGAATGGGATATTCTAGACTGTCGTTTGTTACTAAGAAAGGAACCATAACCGATGGATCCTTTTCTTTTGATGAAATCAATCTAACTTCTATCTCAGTCCAACCACTATACGCAATTCGTGTACCATTAGCTGCTGTTAAATCCAATTCACCATTAATAAGTTCTGAAATGTTCTTTATAACATTTTTAGGAAAGTGTTTTTCCATCATTTCTTTGGACACGATAGATACTTGTGCACCCGTATCCCATAATACTGTTGCCTCAAATTCATTTAGAGAACACTTTACAGTGCACCGTCTTCCTACTAGCTTAGCAATCTTTGCATGCTCACTAGGAGTTAGGTGACTGGTAAATGTCTTATTATTGCTGCGTGTTTTGTTTTGACATGTCCATGTCAGGTCCCGAAGAGTTTTACAATTGTTCCTATGATCATTCCAGTGTCTTTTCTGGCAATTTCTTAAACAATAAACTACACATTTGCATTGTGCACAACAGTACAATGTCATTTGATCATCGTCCTTGCCACAATAACTACATCTTTGGGACCGCAAACTTCTTTCGGCTACTTCTGGCCCCGGAGAGGCAGCCTCCTGGAGTTTAAAGTATTCTTTCCACGATTCTGTCGACATCCAATTGCAAAATGATTGTCACTTCCACAAATGAAACAATGAGAGCATTTGTCATTTCCACTAGTTTGGCACTGCAAGCATTTTGGCGGCTATTCGCCTGAATTTGGTAATCGAGCTTGTTCAGTTTCTTGGTTGATATCCTTCAACTGACTCTTAACTTGTGCCACTTCAACTTTCAGTGCTTCCAGAGTCTTTAGAATTTTATCTTGGGACTCAGCTTTCTCTGCTACCTGGGAAACCTGGGCAGGCTTTGGGCGGTTCTGGTTTCTTAGTTTTCTTACCCGTTCATTCTCTGTCGACACTGCATTATTTACTTGCAAAATAAGCTCCTCATCTGATATTGTGGGGTTTCTGAGGTACCCACTAACCCTTATTCTAACATTTTCATCTTGAAGGCCAGTTTCAACAGTACGTAGAAACAGCTTTTGAATATGATCATTTTCATAAACCAAAGTGTTCTCACTTTGATCTTGAGTGCTTGAAAACAGGATTTTCTGGCGTAAATCCAAGGCACGCATAAGGAATTCTTGTGGTGTTTCCTTTGACCCTTGACATATTGATGCAAGACTTTGATATAGCTCAGTTGCACTTTTTACATCATAATGGTTTCGAAGAATTTTTCGTAACCGCTCTAGAGATAGATCCTTGTAAGTTTCTACATAACTTCGAAGAACCATTCCACCATTAATTGCACGAATAACACCGTCCACAATTTCCTGTTCTGTGTACCCCTGTTTAACCCCAGTGTCAATTTGTCTTGTCAGGGATGTGAAACTCAACTTGTCTTTTTCATTTGGCTGCCCAATTTGTCCCACAATCTTAAATTGTCGACGAAATACACTTGTAGATTCTAACATACCTTGTAATGTGCTTTGACTTTGTCCTGCGTTTTGTTTTACAGGGGGTACTGATTCTGAAACATCTTTTTCTTTTGGTTCTGTGCTCTTAAAGTAACGTGAGCGAAATTTTGTCAAGAATAACATTCGTTGTTCCTCGTTTTTGTCCATCAATTCTTTATCAATATGGTTAAAAATCATGCAAACAATTGTACTTTTCCTTTGTTCGGAAATATCAAGTTCAAAATCCTTTGCCATAGCCTGGAGCGTTTCTTCGGGTGCTTGGCAAACCGTTGTTTGCATCTCTACTTGTAGTTCTTCAGCCATAATCGCCAGCAAATCACCAAAAGCAAAGATCAAAATACGAAAATCAAGAATTTAGAAAAGCGTAAAAATCATACTTTTTCCTTCGCATTCACAGCTTCTTTTATGTATAAAAGTCTCGGTGGGACCTCCAATTTGTTGCCCGCTCACTAAATTCTCGATCTATCCCATAATTCACGTATTAAAACAGTAGAAAGCACAATTTATTTCGTAAAACAATGCGAACATTAATAACAACGTGGTTGACTAATCGCCATCTTGGAAAATCTGTTTGTCTGTCCTTTCTCGTTACTATGGTAACTGTCACAACTGCATGATGCAATAGTTCCTATTTAACTAATGTTACATGACGTATTGCTAATGGGCATCCTACACATGGCACTTAGCTTCGTTTCAGTGGGGCTGTGGTTCCCATCACACCGACTGCACCTACAACCAGTGTTTTGTCCCTTGGGAACTCGAACTGTTCCGTCCGTTTATTCATGCCATTCGCCCCTGGCGTGTTATTCTTCTGCAGATTTAAAGCGTCCTTTTCGGATGTTTCAATTGCTATAGCGAGGTCAAGAGCTCGCTTCAGAGTCAGTTTAGGTTCTGCTAACAAACGACGTTGAATTCTGTGGTCACTTGTCCCACACACAATTCAATCACGCAACATTTCGTTCAAATTTGAACCAAATTCGCAATTTTCTGAGAGACGCTTTAACTCTGCTAAATACATTGGAATTGTCTCACCTTGTTGTTGGCAGCACGTGTTAAATTTGAATCGTTCAACTATACCATTTGGCTTCCGCTGGTAATGATCTTGCACTAATTTCGCCAGCTCTTCGTAGCTTTTGCTTTTCGGCTCTTCAGGAGCAACTAAACTTCGGATTAACTTATACGTCTTTGCCCCAACACTAACCAGGAAAATTGATCGCTGTTTCCCTTCCTTCGATTTCATTGGCCTCGAAGAAGTGATTCATTCGCTCGATGTAATGTTTCCATTCTTCATGCTCGCCATTAAATTCCTTGATTTTTCCAAACGTTGTCATGCTGTAATTTCGTTCGATTTTCAATCAGCCAAGCCCGTTTGGTCGCTTAAAAAGATTGATAACTTCTTTGGCCGAAATAAAAAGATTTTCCTCGTCGCCAATGTAGTGTTTTGTAGTTTATATTTCGATATTAAAACAACACGAACAAGTATATTACAGTTCACTCTTAGTCGAGCTCTTAGTAAAGAACAACAACGTGGTATGATCCAACGTCACACCCGGTTTACGTCACTAACGGTACATAAAGTACTCAACAGTACGAATCAGACGTTCCACGATAGAAGCTTTCGTTTCATTGTACGTATTGTACAGTTCGATGTCTTCTTCTTTCATCAGCGCTCGGAAATGTTTGTTTAGAAATTCTGTTCATTGATCTGTCATGATATTTCAGGTTTGCGTCCAGACGACAAAATGACTTTGAAAGCTTCGACCAAGGTAGGACCCGTTTTGTTTTTCAACGTAACGACCCATGCATATTTGGAAAAGACATCGATGCACACGAGTAAATAACGATATTCATCATTAAACCTTTGTATGGATTGCATATCTGCCAGATCCATTTGTCATTGCTGATCGATACCGCCCACGATGACACGGTTTCGTTTAAAGTGGCGACGCATGGGTTTATGCAACGTGACGCGTCCTGTTTCATCAGCCATTCCTTAATTTCCTTACGACTTAGCGCAAACTTTCCTTCCTTTCTAACGTCTTCATACAGACGTTCCGCACCGCCAAATCCTCCGGACCGTTTTGGATCATAATACACGCTAGATAAGTAGTCGTCCATGTTCACACGTGAAATGAAGGAACCCTTTCATTCTTCATCGTTTTGAATACTATTCGCCTGGGGCCCTCCAATGGGATTGTAATTTTTGACGGTTTTACTACAATACCCCACTTGTACATGCCCTTCGAGATTGAGATCATTTCGTGCTGCACTTATACCGACTTTAAACATTTTCTGTTTATTACGGTCTTTATTGATCTTCGGATTTTTACTGGCAGAGTGTCCCATCACGTACACTCTAATATGAGAAGGTTTTCAAAGGTACACGCGTGTATAAACGTTTTTTCGATTGGGAAGAAACAGTTATTACTTTCGATCAGACAAAGAGTAAACATGTCTAAACCTATCGATATTGACAATTTGGAACTTGTTCTCCATCATCGCCAAAAACGTATCGTCAAGAAACTTTTAAAAGTTTCCGCTGAAGAAATCGCTCCTATCATCTCTCAGCTCGTTGTTGAAAATTGTAACGGTTGCATGACAGAGCATCTGTCCCAAACGTATCATCAGTGTCTTACGATGGAAAGAGACGACCGGTTATGTCTATACTTTGATCGTGCTCTGGAAAAGGCTTCGGAAACAAAAGTGATGGAGGCTTTTACGGACAGTTTGAGCGATATAAAAGTACATGATTTCGAATTAACCCAGTATGCGGCGGACGACTGGAAAACTATCTTTTGCGTGGAACACAGACGGGCATTGACACACGTGATCTTTCAGTTATTGTAACCTATAAAAGGCACGATGCCTCTACCGATTTTATTCATTGTTGGACCATGACTATCGCCGTACTATTTTTCGCAAAGAAAAAGCTCGTGCTCCGTCTCAATATGATAAAATCTTAGACGAAGTGACCGATGAAGAATTGGAAAGAAACGGATTTCCGTTTTACGATGATGATAAAATAGTTACAAATCAGGAATTTATCGAAAAGATTTGGTATGCATGCGTTGAGCACGGATACATTTCTGCAGACTACGATGTAATGGGAAAGTTTATCGAGACATTGCAAATTGTTCTGTGAACAAAAATCTATAAAAGCTCTGACCGTTTCTGATTTTTGATCATTTGAAGCAAACATGGCTTGGAGAAACATTGTCACTCACTGGCTCTCGGACAAAATCATAACTCAAGAGGGAAATTTGGATACCTTGGATTTGATGAGGCTTTTGATAGAGAAGAATATCATACCGGCAACGCTTATAGACAATCCGACGTTGCACTCCATCATGTTGACGCAAATCATATTGGAAATATTAACGGGTGTAACCGTACCTCGAGCCCCCCAGGGGAATAACTTTACCTACCATATGAACGCCAAAGAAATGATGATGGATTTGGCTAGAAAAAAACGAAAAGCAGATCACGGGGTTGGAAAAAGAAACGGCGGTAAATTTGGACCATTATTACAAACTAAACATCGAAAATTAAGATCAAACGATTTATTTTAAAACATTTACAACTGTTCTTAGTATTTCAACAAATATGTATAACTGTTCTTTTAACTGTATTTAATACCCATAAGGTATTGTTTTGTAATCATCAATAATTATACGTTTATTATACACGATGCGGTAGTCCTTTTTCATGCGTTTGATTTCAATGTTTTTGATCTTCGTATTTCTCGTGATCTTGAATGGGATATCCACTGACACTTGTCCGGTAACATGACATTTAGCATGAAGGAACACTAATGCACGAATAACATCAAATTAAGTTTACTTTCTGTTTAGCCGTGCAATTTAACGTGACCCCACGTATCTTCGTCTCCACCTTGTTCGTATTCGTACGATAACAATAATTATTTGGACCGCCCGAGATGAATGTGGTAATGTGGTCCCCTTTCAATTCATCGGTTAATTGACCAAGGTAAGAACCCGTCGGCGGCTCTGGATCGTCGGGTTTGCTGACAAAGATCGCGGAATCGGTATCGTAGTAGAGAACTCTTTCTTGCAACATATCCAATACCTCGTACAACTTGAGACGTGCATAAGCGGTGGTAAACGCGGCGATGACCACATTGGTTTTGGCATTGGGTGCGATGAAATTCTCGGTGTACTCATATTGAATCTGGATCATGTCGTCACTCACCAGGTTGGCGTCGAGCACGTTGATTTCATCTGAGGTGAGGTAATCATAATACACCTGCGGGTCTCGAATCTGTTCGGTTTTGGCCATGTCCCTGTGTCGTTATGCAAATTTACCCCAAAATGAATTGAGCATTAATTTCGCCAAGGCGCGCATGCCAGGATTATACTCGATCTTGTTTAGATCCAAACGGATTCCTTCTACTTCTAGATATGCGTCCACGTACTGTTGTTTCTGTTCCTTGGTAACACAGTCCTTGGGGTAACCACTCGCCTTCTGTTTGATTATCGATATAATCTTTGAACAGTTCGTCCGAGGTTTTGGGAAAATGCCATACTTCGTGCAATTGTAGGATTCGGTAACCTTTCTCTAGGGCTTTCTCCAACTCCACGCTACACCAGGTTCCTTGGATAACTCTTCCCTTGTCGGAGTGGGTACAGGGGGTCTGGTCACACGTATCTGCACAGGTTTTGCAAAGGGGGAACATCAATTTACCCTGCGTACGATAGGGTAAAACAGGATGGAAAAGACCTCGAGGTGGTAATAGCGTACATTTGATTAAGCCAAAGTAAGTGGAGATGTCTTCGTCGAGGTTTTCGGTGATGATGCGTGGGTGGCCAACGATTGTCCGCGTCATCTTATTGGCCCAGGGGTAGAGGCTCGTGAAATCGACGTACCTGACTTTTTCATCCTCTTCACACTGATGGTAGAGTTTGGCAGCGTTGGTTCGACCACCAAAGAAGGCCTCACGAGGTTCCAAAGGATCCATCAGTTTGTAATTGTCAAAGTAACTTCTCATATCCTCGTCTTGCTCCAGTTCTCGCTTCATCTCACATTCCCACATTTCGATCACTTTGAAACCGCGGCCCCTGAGGTAACTGGTCTTCTCTACGGTCGCCATGTAGAGGTCGTGCATCGTTTTACCAGTGACGGGATTCACGGTATCACGGGCATAACAATTCAAGCATCCATGCCAGAAACATCCATGGAATTCATAAGTTGAATTGGTTTCCTCGTGATATCCATCCAGGAAATATCTGCCAACACTCTTCTCTCCACCACTCCGTTTATGTTGAACAAAAATGTCATTCTTCTCAGCGGTGTAAGACAGCCATTTCAGGGCAATGTTGGATTGCTTGACTTTCGGATGGTAACCGTGTGGAGGGATGATTGCAATGGTGTCTTCTTGCAGGAAATTCGTTCGATATACCACATTACACGCTGACGCAATGGTAAGGCATTTTTCAAAGGGGTCAATGTCTGTGACGTCACGGAACAACTCGCGAAACTCAAGGCAGCAGCGACGGAGAATATCAACATCAGAGCGGCAGTAACTCAGGATTTCTTGCTGAAAATTGAACACGTAATTCTTCTGTTTCAATTCATTATGCCATTGGTGATTGTAATATGGACTCCTCGGAGGCAGTGCTCTTTCTTGTTGAAAAGGTGAGGGAAATAGCCTTTGGCTAATTCGTCCAAACCAAAGGTTTTTGGAAAATCCGCCAACTTCATCGGGATAAAGCTCAGGGAGTCGATGAACCTGATCTTAAACATGGGCACCGACAACGTGAGAACCTTTGCACCGCGCATAATGACGTCATACTTGACACCGTTCTCGCGTAGGTATTGGAGAATGAAGTAGCTATCGTAACCTTGGAAATTATGCGCCATTACGGTACAGCCCGCATGTTCTTTTGTAAAGAGCCATTCGCAGAATTCGTTTCGCGTGTTATCCCCTTCGAATACCCATTCGTCACCAGCTTCGTTCTGATCACGCATAAGTTGGGTTTGTGGTTACCGTTTTCTTGACGACACTCGAAATCGAAAAATAATAATTGGCTGTAATCACCATCGGCTACGTCATCGGGTTCGTTTTCGAGCAAGTCTTCCTCGTCGGGTTCGTTATCGGGCAAGTCTTCGGTTCTGTGTTTCGTTTCTTCACAGGTTGCATGTAGCAGCGGTAGTTGCCGGTTCGAGTATACTCTTTACATATAGGGCATTTCGTCATGCCACAATGATGCTTTTCAGGTCTCTTTTTACTTCGCTTCACAACGGTATGACATTCAGAACACAGCAGTCACAACGAATCCAAGATACGATGGGACAGTTCGGAAAACGACAGCATTTACATGCGTTGGGGCACAGATGATCTCGCTGATTATTGTAGGCTTTCTTGCAGGTATGACAGTACATACGTATAGGTTATTTTGAGGCAACGAGGGGATATGTGATTTATTCACCGAGGCGCGCAGCGCCGAGGTGAAAAAACACATATCCCCGTGGTGCCTCAAAATAACGTACTTATTTTTCACACTGCGAGGTCGCGTTAATGAGTGAGAAAAGAAATAATTTTTAATGTCATATTGCCTTCGCGATGTTGTTTTTTCTCATTTTTTGTGCTGCAAAGACATTGCAGGTGAATATTAGAGGGGATTATTAATTGCAGGTGAATATTAGAGGGGATTATTAAACGGAAATTGATTAGAGGGGAATATTGAATATATACCCCGACAAGAACAAAGGAAACCGAGCAGGGTGAAAAATAATACGAGATAAAAAACCGGGTATGCTCGTAATAACATCATGATGGTTATCGTGGAGATACAGGTAAATTCTTTTCTCTTGCTCGGGATCCGTAAAAAGGAGGGTGTTTTGATGCTCTTTGGAAACGATGTTGATTTGGTAATCGGAGAGATAGGTCTGAATTAATTAATTGTTTGACTTCGTCCATGCCACAGGATCCGAGGGGGACGTTGACATTTTGATGTAATTCTTGAGCTAGGCGGGTTTGCATGGATCATCGATGATCAACTATGCTTTTATACTGACTATCGTTATCGATCTTGGCTTTGGCGACGACGAGGGCTCTGGCTAAACACTGGTCATCCTTGTTTTGAATGCGAATAATCGATCTTTTGTTTATCAAATGCTTCTCCAAATTGATTTTACTTCGCTTATGCTTCTCCAAATTGATTTTACTCCGCCATGGGGCATTTCCACATGAATAACATTAACATTAACATTAACAGAATCATTCAACCGAAATTTACGATTGGATTGAAGCACACGCTCGATTTCAGCTAACACACGTTCAGTGGTAAGTCGTTGACGAGGCATAAACGGTACGATATAGGGGAATCCAACTGTGGTGAACGTAACACAAAACGGACCTGATCATGGGAAAGAACATCTCGGGTAACTCTATCAAGCACACGTTGAAATATTTCATGGAGACGATTATGAAACTCGGAAAGCTCGGAAAGGTTCGGAACTGTTTGACTTTTACATGCTTAACATTTGTCACAGTAAAATAATTATCGCTAACCTCATCAGTTGCACCATCGTTCATTTCATCATAAGAACTTTTCTGTCCACAACCAACCTGCAACAAAGGCTCGTCGTTTTGCCAATCATACAGAAATCCAGGTATCCGAAAGATCAGCCACAAGCCCCAATCACTCGTTTTCTATTCGCCATTCCATTATACGCTGAAAAATCTCCATTTTCTTCTCAAACACAAGCCGTTGTTCCGCTTCACTCAACGTAGTTCAAACTCTCCAAGACCGCTAACTCCACTATCGTTTGACAATCCTTAATTTTCGTATCCATATCAACAGTGTTATTGTTATCTCTTATTAAAGCTATGAACACTATACTCTTTCTTATTCGAAAACCAATGTTTTATACAAAACATATAACGGCATGTCGCGCGACAAATGTTATGTGACAATTCAGGTCGCGCGATACATGTTATGCAATAATTCACCTATTTAGCAATAGCGACGCCATCTTGAAATTCCAATTCGGCGCAATGCATGCTGGGCAATCCAGGGTAAAAAATGTAAACATAAAAATTCTGTAAACACAGCTCGAAGACAAACATTCAAGCACGATTTATCGTCTGTATTTATGGTTTTTGTCGACTAAACTATGGAACTTGTTACGTGAATGGGGAAATATGATCGCTGTGCAATTGGAAAATGCAACAACGCTCGAGCATATAAGGAAAACTATGTGATAAATAAAACCTCATATTGGGGCCTTTGATGGGAGCTTACAACTCCGGTTCTGGAAATGCACCGACCCCAAATTGTACGCCAAGTGGACTTTCAACTGTAACCGTTGTGGTTTTAAGGTAAACAAACACACAGTTGTCTGCTCCAATCATTTTAAATATGGAAGGCCCACAAAGTTGAGTCCAATTCCAACTCTGTACTTGAAAGGATACGAACCTGACGATACAGAAACAAGACAAGTCAGGGGAGTACTGAAAAGAAGGAGTATCGAAGAGGTAGGATGTGTGAATACACCATTCAAGAAAAGGAAAGTGAATCAATCTGCTCTTTTGAAGGAAAACACTGCCTCTGTGCCAGAAAATTTGCAGCCAGACACAACAAACTCTGGGTCAGTCCCATGTCCAACACCAGTACCAAGTCAGCCAACACTATCCTCTGGAACTAAAAAGAAAGTGCCTACCGGTAGTATTTGTACAAATGATGATGCAAAAGTGCCCAGATCATTAAAGAAAAAAATGTCTTGGGATATGATCAAGGGAAGGAAACGCCTGGTAAAATTTTATACTAGGTGTCCAACTGCAGAAGTATTTATGTTTATCGTTGACCATGTTCGACCAAAACATAAAAAAACTGCAATATTATCGTGGTTCATCATCCACTATAACAACACCCAAGAAATACCAAATAAGCCCTGTCACTCAATTCTGTCAACGAAAACCTGGGAAACCTCGTGTGTTGTCTTTAGAAGATGAAATTTTAATGACACTGATACGGATTCGCCTCCATGCACCAGTTGAAGACTTGGCTTTCAGATTTTAATAGCTGGTGCTATTGTAAATATGCAGCCACCATTAATAAAATTACAATAATGATGATTATCATTAATCAATTCTTATACTATACAGGTTGAATTTTATTGCCATTTTGTATGTAAACATCAGTTGCTGTCTGTTAAAGGATTACAATCGATTTTACAAAACATTTAAAGTTGGCAACAAAATTGCTAATATGCAAAGTTTAAATGTTTAGAAATGCATATTTCACAAGTCGGTTTATAAACAAAGCCCCCAATTGGTCCCTGAATTAAATCACATACTTAGCTTACAAATTGGCTTGCAGTTGGTTGCAGGCACGGATTTTCTTGGGGGTGCGCACCCCCCAGAAATTATTTGCACCACCCCCCAGAGGCATTTGGCACCGCCCCCAAAAGTTTTTGCACCCCCGCAAATTATATATATTTTGATTTGATACTTTCATATTTGATTATTCTTACTACTAAATTTGTAAAATTACCAATATTATGGTCTCAGATCTCGCCAACAAATTTTGTTGAACTTTTTCCTTGGCCTTTACGGGCATTGCCACCATGCCCCGCGCCATAAATGGCATATTGATATTGTTTATTTAACAGCAGTAATTATATTGACATTATCATAAACACCGGAACTTCCGGTTTATCGCTAGTCACTCACGTGACTGCTTGCACTTCGACAATACGAATTGCTCTGTAAAAACATATAGTTTTATCGTTCGTTATTTGTGAGTCTTTCTTCTATACTGGCGTGGTGGCAGCGATTTATTTCCTTATCCTTCGATCTCTAACACAGCAGAGATCATAATACACAGCACAGAAGAAAGTTTCTCGTACCAAAACAAGGTAAAAGCGAAGCAGTTTTCAGCTGTTCTACGAATCAGAGCTCGTACAGCAAGACCTCGTGAGTGCCCATACTAAACGTAAGTCAATTATTCGTATAGTTAGTTGTCTTTCTCGTTAGTATGGCAGGCAACCGTGCCCCAAAACAGTGGTCTCTCACAAAACAAGAAACAATAACATCGTTTGAAGCATGGCGTCAAAATTTACAATATACATTATCGTTAGACCCAAACTTCGCCCCATTTTTGATCGATGGGGTAACTTGGCTGAGAAAGACCACAGCCGCCCCACTTCGCGGTTTCGAAAATGATGCCGATACTGTACCCGAAGCACGCCGTCGTACTGCAGAGCAAAAAGCAGCCCAACTGGAGCTTATATTGGGCCAAATAGCCAATTATTGCCCCGTAATTTCCCGAAATACTATTGTCAAAAACTCGACATCTTTGAGCACTATTTGGCAATCAATTCGAGCTCACTTTGGGTTTCAGTCCACAGGTGGTCATTTCTTAGACTTTAATAACATTCACTTAGAAGCTGACGAGCGTCCGGAAGACCTTTACCAAAGGCTTGTTAGCTTCATTGATGACAATTTGCTCAAAGCTGATGGTGGTATTCGACACCATGGTGAAAACGTTACAGCTGATGAAGACATCTCCCCAACAATGGAGAACATAATTGTGTTGACATGGCTACGCCTTATCCATCCTTCTTTACCGGCTCTAGTCAAACAGCGCTATGGTGCTGAACTTCGATCACAAACTGTCGCGTCCCTCAAACCTGAAATTTCCCAAGCACTAGACTCCCTCCTTGACGAAATTAACTCCGCCAACGATGCAAAAGTCCTCCGTACTGCTTTCCAACAATCCCTCAAGCACCCTCAATCCAGTAGTCGCCGTCAAACCCCTACAGCCCTACCACGGACATCTAAAACCCCAACAAAAAGTTGCCCCTTGTGTAGACAAGCAGGTCGACAACACCAACACTACCTGAGTAGGTGCCCCTACCTCCCAGTCGAAGACAAGCAATACCTCTCCCGCTCAAGACAGGTAGTCGGCACAGAACCGGGAGACCCGCTATCTGATTGCGAAGTAGAAGACCCACAAGATTCCCACAACTACCGAATCAAGACTACCACCAACCGAGTTAGTGTTAAGCAGTCACCCCATCTCCAGGCCTTCTATGCCCATCACCCACTACTTTTGACATTAGACACAGGAGCAGAAACCAGTATGATAAAGACCAGCATTGCCAATGAAATTGGAGCTACTATACAGAAGACTACTCAGAAAGCCCTCCAAGCAGATGGTATTACCCAGTTAGCCGTCGTCGGAGAAGTCCATTTGACTTTGTCCCGTAACCACTTTAATTTGCAGTTGGATGCACTTGTCGTTGATAGTTTGGACGTCGATGTACTAGCCGGGACTCCTTTCATGATCACCAACGACATCTCCCTCCGGCCATCCAAGCAAGAACTCACCATTCAAGGAAGCGAGAACGTGTATTATGGCTCCAGACAACCAGCTGGGACCATAGGCTCGGTCCGACGAACACAATCTACAGTCCTTCGTGCCCCATCCTCCTCCACCGTAATTTGGCCAGGACAGTACCTTGAATTAGACCTTCCCGATCACGTAGACCCGGATTCTATCCTTGCCCTAGAACCCCGTAAGGATTGTTCTAGATCAGACTGTGAGTGGCCAAGCCCCCATATTGTACAGGCAGTCGCAAGCAAGATCCGTATACCCAATCAGACCCCTCACCCTAAACTTATCCCTCGTCATGACCATTTGTGTCAGGTCCTACCAACCTACATCCCATATCCACACCCCGATGTTCCCAAATCTAGCAACAGCACCCCAGTAGCACCCTCCTCTCCTACACCCCATGAATATTCCTTATCTGTCCAGCTAGACCCCGATTCTATCCTATCAAAGAGCATGCACTCTGAATTCAGCCGGTTAGTTAAAGAATATGACGATGTTTTTGATAAAAATATCTCTGGATACAACGGTGCTGCCGGTCCTTTTGAAGCTGTCGTAAATATGGGCCCAGTACAACCACCACAACGCAAAGGCAGACTCCCCCAATATGCGCCGAACAAGCTGGTCGAGCTTCAACACAAATTTGACGAGCTTGAATCGCTAGGCATTTTTCAGCCCCCTGAAAACCTTGGCATAACCGTTGAATACCTTAATCCATCATTCCTCATTAAGAAGCCAAGCGGAGGACACCGACTAGTCACTGCCTTTGCTGATGTTGGTCGGTACAGCAAGCCACAACCATCTCTATTACCCGATGTCGATTCTACCCTCCGAACAATCGCCAAATGGAAGTACATCATCGTATCCGACCTTACCAGCGCTTTCTATCAGATACCACTTGCTAAAGGTTCCATGAAGTACTGTGGCGTCGTGACTCCATTCCGCGGCGTTCGAGTCTACACCCGATCAGCTATGGGCATGCCAGGGTCAGAAACAGCCCTCGAGGAGCTCATGTGTCGCATACTCGGTGATTGCCTAGAAGATGGAATCGCTGCAAAGCTTGCAGACGACTTGTACTGCGGTGCAGACACACCGGAGGAACTGCTCATCAACTGGAAGAGGATCCTAGACGCCCTCCAAAAGTGCAATATCAAGCTTTCTCCATCCAAAACCATTATTTGCCCACGCAGTACCACCATCTTAGGCTGGATTTGGACACAGTGATGCCTATCCGCAAGCACCCACAGAATTGCTACAATGTCATCGTGTCCGCCTCCCGATACGGTACGGGGTCTTCGCTCTTTTATAGGAGCCTACAAAGTCCTCGGACGTGTTGTACCACAGTGTGCACACATCATTGCACCATTGGAAAGTGCCATCGCAGGACAACAATCATGTGACAAGATCAAGTGGTCAGATACTCTGTCCCAACAATTCAAGTTCGCTCAATCCTCCCTGGCGAATAACAAATCTATTACCCTTCCCAAACCATCCGACAAACTATGGATAGTAACCGATGGCTCTGTAACCAAAAGAGGAATCGGAGCTACCCTTTACGTATCACGCCATCAAACCCTCCTCCTCGCAGGATTTGTCAGTGCCAAGTTAAGAAAGCATCAGGTGAACTGGCTGCCATGTGAGATTGAAGCATTAAGCATCGCTGCCGCCGTGAAGCATTTTAGCCCTTTCATAATCCAATCACATCACCCCGCTTGTATCCTCACAGATAGCAAGCCATGTGTTCAAGCCATCGATAAACTGCGTCGAGGTGAATTTTCAGCGAGCCCCCGTGTTACGTCATTTTTATCCATCGTCAGCAGGTACCAAGCGGACATACACCACCTCGCTGGCTCAGCGAATGTTCCCTCGGATTTCGCCAGTCGAAACGCACCAGAGTGCAATGAACCGAAATGCCAAATTTGTAACTTCATTTCAACCACAGAAGATTCCGTAGTTCGATCCACCTCCGTCCAAGACGTACACCACCTCCCCCGCTTACCTTTTACAACCCGATCTGCCTGGATCCAAATACAATCCGAGTGTCCCGACCTACGCAGAACACATGCTCACCTGAAACAAGGAACACGTCCCTCTAAGAAATTAACAAATGTAAAGGATGTTAAACGTTACCTAAATTCCCTGTCCATTGCCAAAGATGGTTTATTAGTGGTTCGTAGAACCGACCTTTATCACCCTCCACCGAGTTGATCGTAGTACCACGCTCCGTACTTGACGGTCTTGTAACAGCCTTACATATCAAACTCGACCACCCGTCAAAACACCAACTCCAACTGGTGATGAGACGCAACTTCTTCGCACTTGACATGCCAGCTGCCATCGCTCATGTGAGTGACACATGTCACACGTGTGCCTCCCTGAAAAAGCTCCCACCTCAAGTTATACAGCATAGCACAGAAGAATCTCCCAAGGTCGTTGGAGTTTCATTTGCCGCAGATGTCTTAAAGCGGTGTAAACAAACTATCATAGTCGTTCGCGAAACAACGACATCCTTTACCGCAACGTCTATTATCCACGACGAGAAAGCCAACACACTTCGTGATGCTCTAGCTAAGTTATGCAGCGAGCTGCACCCCCTGGAAGGTCCACCGGCCATCATCAGAGTCGACCCCGCCCCTGGTTTTGTTGCACTGCGAACCGACCCAACCCTTAAACGCCTCGGCTTATCCCTAGAGATCGGACGCATTAAAAACACTAATAAAAACCCAGTAGCAGAGAAGACCATCGCTGAACTCGAAGAAGAAATCCTCCGCCAAGCACCCAATGGTGGTCCAATATCGACTGTTACCCTTGCCATCGCAACATCTCGACTAAATTCCCGCCTCCGTAGAGAAGGACTCTCGGCTCGCGAGCTGTGGAACAGCGAGATCAGTTCACTCATGATCAACTTCCCATATGTGATCGCAAAGTAATCCAAGAGCAACATCTACAACGAAAACAAAACCACCCGTATAGTGAGAAATCGAAAAACCGAAATAGGAATTCGTTTGCACCTCCTACAATTAACGTCGGGGACTTGGTTTATTTAGTCGCTGAGCGAGATAAGACACAACCCCGCAGTAGATACTTGGTCATATCTGTGGAAGACCCATGGTGTGTCATCAAGAAATTTTCAGGTAATCAACTGCGTGCTACATCGTATAAAGTTAAAACTACTGATTGCTTGATCGTCCCAAACCGGTCAATATCGAGTACACCGTATCCCCATCGTGACAGGGACAGTTCCGATGAAGAAGTGTGTGAAGAATGCCCATATCAGACAAGTAACGTTCCGCCCACGTTAACAACTCCAGCCGACAACAGCATCTCGCCAACCACTACTCAGCGCCCTCAACGCAAACGCCAGTCTCCAGATTATTATGGATATTAGAGAACAAAGTATTACGTAAATTGTTTATATTGTAGTTATACTAACAGTCATCTTTCGTTGACACTAAGTTAAGAAGAAGAAGATACCACGCCATAAATGGCATATTGATATTGTTTATTTAACAGCAGTAATTATATTGACATTATCATAAACACAGGAACTTCCGGTTTATCGCTAGTCACTCACGTGACTGCTTGTACTTCGAAAATACGAATTGCTCTGTAAAAACATATAGTTTTATCGTTCGTTGTTTGCGAGTAATCTTAATTAATCTTAAATTTCTGTTTCCAAACGAACAATGCGCAAAAGCACCATTACGTAACAATTTGGTTGATCATATATGTTAATCTCAGTGTTGGTTGGGGGGAGTTTGATTGACTTTATTGACACTCCCCTAAAAGTGACAAAAATATATATACATATCAATTAATTACTATAATTATACATCAGATCCTAAATTCATATACGCAATTACTTTATACACAAACACAACATAAAATTCTTGACAACATGATACAACATACATCAACATCATCAACAACGACAGCAAAAACAACAACAACAACAACAACAACAACGACATCAACGACAATAACAACGACAATAACAACGACAACGACAACAGAAAGACATGTCCTTAGGCTAACTATCTAGAAATTGCTGAAGCAGTTCCCGTTTCAGTTTAATTTTAAAACTTGGAATAGATTTGCAAAGTTTTAAGTCAGGGTTAATGTTGTTCCAGAGAGTGACAGTTCCGTAATGGAATGTTCTTTGTCCTGCAGTTGATCTGTATAACGGAACGTACAGCTGTTTACAGCTGATTAGTATTTCTAGTATCGCGACCACTCACTTCACCTCTCGTTTTGAACTGAGACGATAAGTAGGCAGGTGCGCAATCATTCATGCATTTGAAAGTTAATAAAGCATCGCGACTGTACAGATGTGACTTCACGGGAAACCAGCGCAGTTCCTTAAGTATCGGGGTGATGTGGTCAAATTTCCTTCTGTTGCTCACTACTCGTGCTGCGAAGTTTTGGACTCCTTGAAGTCGGGATAGGTTGCTGCAAGAAGTATTTGACCAAAGCGAGGACCAATAGTAGAGTTTGCTAAATACTAAGGCGTTGATGACAGTTATTAAAAGGTTTTTACGGAAGACATGCTTAGCGCGATTTATTTGGCAGAGGCTTGACTTGTAGGATGAAACAGTAGAAAGGATGTGATTGTCGAAGGAGAGAATTGGATCAAACTTAACTCCGAGATCTTTCCCTGATGAAGCAGGTGTTAGTTCCTTACCAAGTAGCGAGAGTCTAAAATCAGGTAACTTCGCGAGCATTTGGCTGCTTCCGCGTAGACCATCAATTTAGTTTTGTCTGGATTCGCCAAGAGCAGGTTATCAAAACACCAGTTTCGCATTCTAATCAAATCCTCGTTTAGATCAGTCAGCGCAATGTTCGAGTCATTGAACTTTTGGCGACTGACGGCAAATCATTCACATAAATACTGAAAAGTAACGGGCCCAGAATACTTCCCTGTGGGACACCACTAACTACTAACAAAATCTCAGATAGAGTAGAGTTGATACGTACTGCTTGGTATCTCTCGCTGAGGTAACTTTTAAAACAACCCAGGCATCTAGACGAGACACCAACGTCCTCCAATTTAGCAAGCAGTATATTATGGTTAATGCTGTCAAAAGCTTTGCTCATGTCCGAAAGAATAACTGCTGTTACTTTCTTCTGGTCAATTGCTTTAAGAATAGAGTCGGTGGAATGAATAAGGGAGGTTTCTGTTGAATGCCAGGTTTTGTTGCCACTTTGATGCACAGAGAGACGATGATTGGTGGTTAGGTAAGACGTCAGTTGGTGGAGTGCTACACGCTCACATACTTTTGAATGAACTGGTAATAGGGAAATGGGTCGGTTATTGTTCGCCAGCTCATGATCACCTTCTTTTGGAATGGGAGTTACTTCCGTGATTTTCCAAGTATTCGGGAATATATTGTTCACCAGAGAGTTGTTTATGATTGAGATTATCCATGGCGAAATAACGGGTAAAACCCCTCCCTTTGGCAGCTACAGTACGTCTCTGGATATCTGGGTATGCGCAGTATCTGTCAATCTGTTTGAAAAGTGTTTTCATGCAACGAACTTTGAGCCGTGAAGGATTGTCGATTGCTGTTGTAATTTAAAATCTGAATTGTAAGTATGCATGTTCGTACAATATATTCTTGCAGTTGAAGAACATCACTTTTTTCAAGCCTCGATCAACTCGATTTTGCATGTAGGATCATAATTTTCCCAGTTGAAAGGCTCCTATTCGATGTATGGGTAGTTACATTGCCTAAAATCGTTATTTAACGTAATTCCATAGTATACTAGAATAAAAACTTCATCAGATATTAAGTTTAGGTCATTCGCATCATTTGTTTCTTGTACTGAAGACATTTATTTTCCAGCGCAAAATTGTGCGGCGGTTCAATCTTCAAAATTCCCAAACAATTTTATATTAATATAATATTCAATGTTGAAACGTTCAATGTTGTAACGATAGTATTCAAAATTGTTTGACTGCACGAACCCTTTGGATAGTGCTGGTATAACATGCATTATTTAATACACATACAGGATCACCAAACCAGAGATCACAACACGACTGCATGGCTGGAAAATTTGTTTTTCTCTAAAAACATTTTAAAATCTCTTTAATAAAATCCTCACATTTTTACAATATCATGCATTCTTGCAATACTTGCATAATATTTTTAAGTTATGAATTTTTCTTGCAAAGACTAAGGCCTGTTTCAAACATCGCACTTCTCATGTGCCGAACGCATTAGAAACAATAGATTATGAGGCATTTCGATCAGCTGATTATCTGAGGTTTTCAATGCGTTAAGCACATGAGAAGCGCGACGTTGGAAACAGGCCTAAGGCCCGATTAATACTTCGAATTTTGGTCGCGTCGAATGCAATTACGACAACCGATAATGAGAATATAAACCTCATTACGCTTTATTAACTATTGTTTGAATTGCATTCGACACGACCGAAATTCGACGTATAAAACAGGACTAAGTAATTTCATTAAGCCCTGATGGAACGCACAACCTTCGAATCTGGTTTCTAGTGCCACAATCATTAAGCCTTTAAGTATCAGAGCAACCAAGTGCTTGATGGACGTCAAACTATCATCATACAGCTGTATATCACTGAAAAGGTGATCGTTATAATCATTGTAAATACGATCACTGCATGTGATATTGCACAATCCCATCGTTTAACATTTTCCCGAATTTTTAATGTAATGTGAGTGCTGGCTTGTATATATTTTCCATGTTATACAGTTAGAGAGGAAGGTTCAGATTTTGAATTACACCACCGTTATCATTAATCAATCAGATGCATTAACCGTCTTCCACACGATACGCCAATGAAATGAGTATTAAGACTGTGCGAGGTAGAGAGGTGGAAATAAATTTGGAAGCTCTCTATAAATTTCGTAAGAAAACAGAAGTACAAAATAGAGATTTTATGAATATTTTTATCTAATAAAACTTCCATATGCAAACAATACTTATAATAAAGTAATAATAAACTAATAAAAAAACTATATTTCAATAATATTTTACTGCCAATTGAAAATCAGAATTTTGTCTAGGAAAAAAAAGAATATTGCACGCTGTAGATCACACGCCCCCAGCGCGGTCGTATTACAGGGCCGTAATTTATTTTACGGCTGGGCGGAGGGCGGGGGGGGAGAGCTTGTTTTGCCCAACCAAAAGGGCGTGGCGAAAGTCGTGCTAGAGGGAGATCATTAATATTTCTTTTCCCAAATGTCTTTACTTGCGAACTATTGTCGACACAAATTAAACCTGGAAAAGTGATATAATTTCAAGTTGTTTAATATACACTCATGTTGGTATCCGCTGACCTGTTGTATAAAGATTCGGATCCAGGAGCGTAACGTAGGCGGGGGCATAGAAATTATAAATAACGTGTTATTTATAATCTCAATGGGCGGGGATGTAGAGGGGACGAAATACCATTTTTCACTAACTTACCGAAACTTGTGCAATTTTTCAGTAATATTTTCGTCATTCTCAGTAATTTTTGCTGAATTACATCTTTTTCTACGACGAGCGTGTCGTTAAGACAGCCAGACAAAAAGTATGCCCCCCCCCCTAGGAGTTACTAACCTGGAGCCGAAGCTTGATAGAACAGGTCAGCGGATGCCAACATAAGTGTAAAAATAAAATTATATCACTATTTCAAACTTTCAAAATATGGTCGGGACCCGACCATTGGAATATTATTATTATTTCGCACCTTCCAAACTTTCTTGAATGGAATCTCTAGCGTCTCTATTCATTTACAAGCATTGCGACTGAACCAGAAGGAAATTCAGTATAATAAGTTATATATATATAACTTTTTTAAGACTTTATTCTTATCCCACGTTTCGGGTCATGCCCCTTTATCAAGGATAAATAACAGAGTTAGATGCTTTTATATCCTATTCAATTCATTAACATAAATTACCCAAAATCCCTTACATTTAATCCCTTAGATGCAAACCTGTCCAATTATATGCCCAAAATGCCTCTTTTTGCGTAGGATCATTCATATTTTTTTTGTCAATAATAATAACTCTGTGATCGGCCAAGCGCTCGTGTTCCTCGCCAAAAAAAATTTTTGCAAAAAATTAATTGTAAATTTGCCCAAGATTTTGCGTAAATATCACCGACATGTTATGCAATTATATTATTGCAATTGCTTTATAGCCCCTACCTGGGTACCCAGTACAAAACAACTGCAAGGTAAACTCGTTTATTTTAAGAAATCTGAAAATTTCTGTGAGCCAAATTATTCCGTGGGCATTGTTGGTACGGTTGCTCGCGCATGTAATCGCACATCGAATGGTCATGATGATTGTACTGCGATATGCTGTGGACGACCTTACAAGACATCTGTGTCGGTTGAAATTGTGAAATGCAATTGTCGTTTTGAATGGCCTTGCTGTAAGATAAAGTGTGATAGATGCAAGCAAACACGAGTTGTGGACACTTGTTGGTAATGCTATATATCTGGATATTGTTTTCGTAGAAGAACAGTGGTTTAGATGACGTTATTTGTGCGCTGTTGTGTAATCTTCACCTCTGCAGAGAATTACATGAAGTTTGTAGTTGTGTAAATTATTTTTAAATGCCTAAGGTAGGTTAGCGAAGTTTGATGCCATATATTGTGCTAATTTCTTTCAAAGCCGGAACAAAATTATAAAGGTGTGTAGAATGAGGAATTAGACTTCTTCGCACGTCTAGAACTCTTATCACCATAATTATCAAACATCCTAGAGAGAACTTTTACATTAATGGTCAATTGGAAGAAATCCAATTTTGATCAAAAATGTTTTAGTTATGCCATTGGACTATCATCAATTCCTTTTACAAATTAAAATATATTGGCATTAGAAGATAACGTTACAATTTCCAAAGGCCTATACCCGATACTAGTTCATTAGCTGTGACTTTAAAGGCCATTGTGTTTGTGTGTGGCTTTAGGGATGCACCGGATATCATATCCGACAAGAGAGTGAGATCAACTTATTATCCGGCCTCCCAGCTACCGCTATTTGTGAGGAAGCATACTCTATCTACATTTTGCAAGTTTTCGTATTGCAACGAAGAAAGGTTGATGTTGTGTTCATGTTCTGTAAATTTGGAACTTGAAATTTGGAACTTGAAATCTTAACTTTTTGCTCATATCATGATGCAAGCAGGTAGCGAATTTGAAAGATTGCATTGGGAGGAATCCGTGTAGCAATATCATGATATTGCGTTAGGTATAAACAATATTTATGTCCTCGAGCGCGCGTACCACGTTGTCGTGTGGCGAAACTTGATCATGCTTGTAAAAGTATAAATTGGCTTTTATGATTTACAGTATTCCATGTTAGAGTGAAAAATAATCATTTCAATGATATTTGGACTTGTTTATTTCATTATGTAGTGCTGACCGGATTACTTAAAATTGTGCATTTATTATTAACTCGTGCATTTATTATTAACTAGAATAATAGCATAGTTGCCCGGGTTTCTTTTGTTTCAACAGGGTCGATTACTAACTAATCGCCCGCTGTAGCGGGCGATTAGTTCTAATCGCCCGCTAGAGCGGGCGATTAGAACTAATCGCCCGTTACCAAGGGTCACACCTTTGTCTCCCTGACGACTACGCATTAGGCAAGTGCCTCACGCACATAATCGTGCAAGGAACAGCAACAGTTAGCTCAGAGCCGTCAATAGTCTATCATCCGATCCCTGAGTTGCCGCATCATTTAAATTACGCACGTGCTGTCTCCAAATTTATACTAATATATTTAGCGTTTTTGTTGTGGTACGTTAAATGATAGATTGCGCATGCGTAACCGATTAAAGCGTAAAAGTGCGCATGTGCAACAAGCTTTTACATCCCACAAGCAATGAAGCAAATGTTTTAGCTTAAATACGCTGATTCCAAGTAGGGCATGTTTGTCCATTTTTAAATGGGAGCGCAACTATGCTATTACAAACTAATAGCATGGCTTTTCGGGAGATTAGTGATTAAATGACCCCTTACCCTCGGCAGGTTTGCGGAATTCCCTCGGGCTTCGCCCTCGGGAATTCCGCAAACCTGCCTCGGGTTACGGGGCCAATTAATCACTAATCTCCCTCAAGCCATGCTATTACTTATAATAAATGTGCATTTATTATTAACTAGAATAATCCCGCACTCACGCGTGCAGCGCGGTGCGTGGGTAATAATTACACTGGGCTATTCACATTAGGTTACAGTTCATAGGTGGATATCCCACTGATCTGAAAATATCGCGAATGACAGGAATAAAGGTCCTGAAGAGAAGTGTGAGAATTGAGATTCGCCTGTTTTAGGGTTGAAAATGGGATTTCATGCACTGGGCCTGGGAATTACCAACAACAACAACAACAAAATTTAAAATGGTGATGGGATTTGAGCAAGACATGGCCTGACACGATGGGATTTGGTCAAAATTTTGCAGTTTCTCTTGTTTGGTCTAAAGTGCATACTATTAACATTGAAATTTAATTCCATCAACAAAAGCCCTTCAATATTTAGCCGTTCTTTCTTGCGAGATGAACAAATTTCCGATGTTAATCCTGGTTATTCCCGCTTAGCATTAAACCGCCCTAACGCTTGTACATGCCTGTCCGTCCTCTGTTTGGGAAAAAGAAAGGATGAAAGAAATAAAAGACGGTGTACGATATCTGCAACAGTGCCCGGGGTACGCATATAGGTAGTCTTAAGGTGGCTCGATATAGTTATTACAAAAACCCTGCTCAAGAATCGCGAACTCAAAACCGGGCGACCATTTTTACGCGCAGGTCGCGCAAACAGATTAACAATATGAAAGAAGTTCCAAAATGACCTGACGTGAGCAGTTGCTCGCGCCACATCACGCCATTGCGCGTGTTCTATAACGTTTAATGTTAATTGCTGACGTCATTAAAATTTGCTCTTGAATATTGACACATGATACGTGAAGATTACAAGAATCAACAACATATTTTTTAAACAAGTTGTCAAGTGAGTGACAAGCAGAACTACAGACTATTCTAAACATTCTATAAACGATGACTGTTATGATATTCTAGAAACTACTGACACTTATATAGCAATATATCACACATGTACTTTTGAGTATGAAAAATTATATTTCAAATAAAAACCTTATTTACATTTGCTCATTGTCTGGCTGAGTGTTCATTGTCTCTTCCCATTCTATTGGCTCATCCCAGTTAATCTGGACGGCATCTACTTGAGCAATATTATACTTAGTATATTTCTTTCTCATTGCATAATCATCATGCGCTAATTTGATCAGTTCTTCGACCACTTCATTCTTTTCTTCTCCAATGTCCATCACTGCTTCCACATCACTGTCACTCAAGCAAAATAATGCACAAAAAAATTGGGGTTCACCATAGCAACGAACTATCTGTTACTAAAACGAATATAATTTGAAAGTAGAGATATAAAAATATATAAAAAACCCAATATCGGCTGAATAAATCCTAAAAATGCGTAGTTTGAACATGTCAAAGTGTTGAACACCTGAATTATTTAAAACTGTATCGAGCCACCTTAATTAAGCTGATCTTAATTTTTAATTTTAACATACACTTCTTTCGTGTGCAATTTTATACAATATCAGTAATGTTGCCCTGTTCCGCCATACTTCAACCTCGTATATCCAGGGCTTTTTTACTTCAACCTGATACCCAGGGCGAAAAAGGCGCTGGCTTCGGCTGGTCAGTTTTGCAACCAGATTGGTCTATGATTTTGAATGTAAATATTCAATATATCTGGGAATAATTATTATTTTGGTAGTTCTTGAAGGACTAAGGTATTGAGTAAATAAGATTTTTGATATTTAGTTTGAGATACAGCCTGAATTTGGGAAGGACAATACTTCAAAAAAACAATTTGGTTCAAAATAAGTCTAAGTCTTTGTACATTTTGTATAGACGAGTATTTGCTTCGGTTCAACATATATACATTTCTCACATGCATTGTTTACACATCGTTGATTTCAAGAAACGTACAGCGTTGTAGTCAAATAAAGATTGCGATACGAATATATATTTGCTCATAAAACGATTTATATAAACCAAACGCTGAAGCGGTTTTGTTTAGTTATTCACATACCTAATTTTAAGAATTTTTTATCACTGCACATCTTTGTGCAAAGTTTAGCCGAGCACTAGCACGCCCTGGACATTTCTGAACACACCCTTATAATAATATGTGTAACAACAAAGCAGGCTACAATTCGTATTCAAAAATGCCAAAACGAACATACACTGCACAGCACTCACTCCAGGGAAATTTGGGGGCCCAGGACAAACTTTGAGTTGGGGGCTCTCGTGATTCCACGTTCTAACACTATGATTAGGGGGTCCGGGGGCATCCCCCGGAAAAAAAATTGAAACCTGAGGTCCCAGAAATGGCCAAATCCTGCATTCTGGAAGTCTAGTTGACAGTTATATCTATGTATATTTCAATGCGATTCTTTATTTGGGCCCTCCTTTAACTGGGGTCCCAGGGCAAATTGCACTCCTCTGGGCGGCCTTGACAGCACCGGTTACGACTATCTGTGACAGCTTAGTTTCATAATTACATGACTGAAGAAAATAAATATTTTCGTCTTGGCATATGAAAGGCGGCTTACGGGCTTAGGCGTGACAAATCTGAGCCAATTTTGTAATCTAGGCACTATAAAAGGGCATCTCCTGCAATGCGCGGGGACATTCTATAGAATTCTGCAAATTATACAGTGGTTACAAAATCTTATTAAGTATCATTCACTCCATCTTCCAAACTTATAAAGAGATCTTTGGTGAGAGACTTTGTTCATCTGATGAATCATAAGTATGTTACTAGTGCGGACGTTCGATAATTTGGCAGTCATCATTTCAATTTCAATTCAATCATTTTCATTCAAAATATTTCGCCGGATTAGTTCAGTTTTTCTGCTCATTGTCTCATTTCTCTTGTGTTAATTAACAACTTATCAAAGCAAATTTTATCACTGCACATTTTACATTTTATCACTGCACATTTTACTTTTATCACTGCACAAATTGGTTATCACTGCACACTAAAATTAGGTATGGTTATTCATTAAGAATTGAATCACAAGATAACCAGGCTCCGAATATGTTTAACTCATCAATATTATGGGCTATGTTTGCATATGTTGCTGAATGAGGTATGAACAACGAAAACAGCATAAAGTCAACTTATTTTGTCGCTTTCTCTTTGATTATATACGCAGCATTGAGTTTGTTTACTCCTGTCAGTAATTACAATGCATGTATATAATTATTCTATATACGTATTTATACGCATAAATTATCATAATTGAACACCCCAAATACTGGAGATTTTGAGGTCATGACCGCTGACCGGAAGCAAAATGCCCTTGGTACGAGGTTGCATGGACATGCTTAGAATAATTGAAATAATATATTCTGTTTTTGTGTACTATTTTAAATTAGTGTACTATGGTAGTAGCGGACGTGTATACATGAATAATTAAGAAGCAGTGAGTCAATACAACGGTAGGCCTACTTATTCATAGTTAATGAAAATTCGACTGTTCTCACATCTGTTGAGTGTTGATTGCGAATGTTTGAAGAAAATCAAGGAAGTAAAGTTAGATTTTGGTAAGTTTCTTTTTACCTCGTATCAAATGCATCCGTTTCTGCTCATATTTCTGTTGGGTTTAAAATACTGCCGTAAGTGAAGTTGTTAATTTTGAAGGCCCTGCCTTTGTCTTTGAACTACGCGACTTTTCTACTTTCTGCAAATAATTTCCTTCTCTAACATATATACTGCTGAATACGTCCCTTACAACTGTTCCAGTAATGCAAATATTTAGTTTAAATATTATGGCAAATTTTGTTTGACGAACATGAGGAATAAACTGTTAAACTACTCAGTCCTGTTTAACTTAATAACTACACTTTGAATTATAATTGAATTATTTATAACGCATAAGCAAAATGCATTATCTTAGGGCGTGTTTCTGAATTTTTCTCATACCCGACTGTTCGACTTTTACGGCAATTTACTTACTTTACTTAACATACATGAACTGATACTAACAAACGTTTAGTTTTAATGCATGTATGCTCATTAAAGCAGGAGCCAAATTAAATTGAACAGCAAATGAGTTTTGATGAATGTAGATAATATTATTTGATGTCTTTTCCGATTGATGCCTCTCTCCTCCCCAGAGGATTACATGAAGTTTCCAGTCGTGTAGATTATTTGTAAATATGATATTTGCTGTGTTGGTGCAATGTACTCATCTACATCTACATTTTATTAAGTCTGTAAAAATCGGACGATTATCGCACCAACTATAACAATAAAAAATACAAATTCAAAAAACCTAACTACAACTATCTCAACCAATCAATAATAAAATATTACTTAAATACTTAATATTACTCAGGTGAATACGATGCCACGGTGGGATTCGAACCTACGACCTGGTATTCCAAAGGTCGTAGGTTCGAATCCCACCGTGGCCAGGCATATTTTTCAAGCCTGCCCGGTGTGGATATACACTCAGAGTAACATCACACAGCATATTTGTAAATACTTAAGGTGGCTTCTCGGAGTTTGGTGTCATTTTGCTTTTCTAATATTTGTCAAAGCGAAGTTATAAAAGTGTGGAAAATCCAGGGAATTAGATTTCTAATATATAATTCTGTCTTCTTCAAATATTCTCAAAAAGGGAACTTTTTCATTTCTGGTAATTGGAAGAAATCCAGTTTTAGCCAAAAAATTTAGTTATGCCATTGGACTATCATCAATTCTTTTTTCAAATCACGATACAATGCCATTTGAAGACAGCGTTAGAATTTCGAGAGGTCCATGTCCGATACCAGTTCATCGGATGTGAGTTTAACGGCCATTGTGTTTGTGTGTGGCAGTTACGAATGCAGCGAATATCGTATCCGGCCAGATAGTAAGACAAACCTATTATCCGGCATCCGGCCGCCCGGATATCGGAAATTGTTTATCAGTAAGGTTCAGGCTTTCTTTTCGGATTAAAAATGATATATTCATCATTCATTTTCATATATTCATCATAAGTAGCACCATAATAAATTATGAGGGAAATCAGTGATTAAATGTCCCCGAAAGCCGAGGGAGGTTTGTGGAGGGCGCAGCCGGAGGGAATTCCACAAACCTCCCGAGGGAAAGGGGTATTTAATCGGTAAATTCCCGACATATCATGGTATTAGTTTGCAATACCATGATTTCAGTTTACACTCTAAAACGGGACACGCATACCCTACTTGTAATCAACGAAGAAAGCAAAGCAAAGCAAAACAAAGCAAAGCAAAGCAAAGATGGCGCACGACATCTTCGTCATTGCCCAGATACGTATTTAGATAGCCGAAAGCTATCCTGAACTTTTTAATTTGGACGTATTCGTCTTTCGTGTGAAATTTAACAATATCATATCAAGTCATTTTGGGATCTGAAGCGCTCGGAAATGTTGCTCTGCGCCCCTAGCTATACTTACAAAAATTGAAATGATATATTCTGTAAAACACTTTAGTGTTTTGAAAACCTAAAATTAGTGTATACTATTCAAGTATCCGATGAGTATATAGCATGAATAATTAACAAGCAGTGAGTCAATACAACGGTACTTAGGCCCTTTTTATACGTCGAATTTCGGTCGCGTCGAATGCAATTCAAACATTAGATAATGAAGCTTAATGAGGTTTATCATCTCATTATCTATTGTCTTAATTGCATTCGACGCAACCAAAACTCGACGTATAAAACAGCCGTATTATAGTTAAAGAAAATTATTTCGACAGTGTGTGTTCTCGCGTCTGCTTAAATTATCTGCCGTAGTTGAAGATGTTAATTATGAAGGCCCTGCTTTATTTTGAACTACTCGATTTTTCTTCTCGAACACTGATTAATATGATGCATAGGTACCTCATGCACAATTGTACCAGTCATGCAAGTGAATAGTTAAAACATGGCAAACTATGTAACTATGTTTGACATCAGGATTGAACTGTTAAGCAACTCAGAGCGTGCAAATTGAATACTTTAGCATATAAGGAAAATGTTTATCTGAGGGTCCTGAGGGCATACTTCTTCATTTCCCCATACACGATTGTTCCACTTTTACGGCAAATTTGCTTAGTATACTTTACTTAACATGAGCTGATACTAATAATCTTTCAGTTTTAATGTGCTTTCATTAAAGTAGGAGACAAATTGACGGCACGACAATAATTGAGAAACTGCATAATTTTTAGTTCTTAAATTAAATTCGTTTAAAGTTTGGCTTATTTAAACGGGAAGGGAAAATTTAACTCGAACAGGATTTGAACGATGGTATACCAAGCGAATTTCATGATGAGATATAAACGATCGCATCATGAAATTCGGAAGGCGCATACTCCAAGTCACCATTCCTATGATTTATCTTTAAAGTGCATATGACATTAATACCATTTTTTCACCAAAAATCAGCAAAAATTACCCAATTCGAATGATATATATCATTCCTTGATCGGATAAATACTTCCAGAGATAATTTAGATCAAACATGCAAAAAAATAGGGGTTTTCAAGACATGGCCGGGAGAAAAGAGGCTGAGTACGAATCAAGTTTGTGATGTCACACCGGCGACGGAAGTGAATCGACTCATGTTGTATTACAATAAATATCTATTGTGTGCAATGAATATTTGTATACTTTGCGCTTTGAAATGCCTGTTAGATCAAGGGAGCACAGCAGAACGATATTTGGCTATTTATATAAATATTTTTACGTATATTTGTCTAATATTCGTACCTGTTTTCATAGACGTTCACTTCATTTATTCTTTTACTGAAAATCCTTGATGTTTGTGGAAAAGTCCTTAATATATCTTTAGACACACGCGCGAATTCAAATGGTAAATAAACTGCCATTTTGAGAATATCATATTCCCTATATTAATTCCCTTCATATTACTATTATACGAAGTAGCGAGCTGGCCGGCGGCGTGAATAAATCACAATAAATTAATCACGCCGCCGGCCAGCGCGCTACTTCGTATATAATAGTAATATGAAGGGAATATGAGATTCTCAAAATTGCAGTTTATTTACCATTTGAATTCGCGCGTGTGTCTAAAGATATATTAAGGACTCTTCCACAAACATCAAGGATTTTCAGTAATAGAACAAATGAAGTGAACGTCTATGAAAACAGGTACAAATATCAGACAAATATACGTAAAAATATTTATATAAATAGCCAAATATCGTTCTGCTGTGCTCCCTTGGTTAGATATGTTGTTTTCGGTTGTTACAACACAACAGATGCTGCAAATCAAATAGCTCTACATCCAATACCATTTTATGGAGATTTTCGGCTGCAGTCATTAAGGAGAAGGAAACATTGGATAGATTTGGATAAATTGAAGCGAGCCAGATCGGAGCCGTCTCGTCAATTGTCAAAGGCATGTTTGCACAAAGACATGCATTTCATGTCGAGGCTAAAAGAATGCACATTTCCTCGACTGAATGAGATATGAAATTGGGATTAGCGTTTATCTGACGGTACAAACTGCGGTCGAAAGGCAGGAGGACATACAATAATGCCTTTGTTATAATGCTATTAAAACTGCGAGGGTGATTTTATATACACGCAAGGCTACCTCCTCCGCAGGCGCTTAGGGTGCATTTCGGGCAGGTTCGGAAAATGCGGGTTGCAGGCTAGAGCGCCTGCCGAGTAATGCTTTCAAGATGGCGTATGCTATAAATCGAAATTTTCATTTTGACTTTACTATTATGACTTAATATACAATATACATACCAGCACTGATCTAATAGATCTAAATAATATTTAGAAATAGCATCCAGTGGTCTTGGCAGACTAAAAAGTACTTATAACTAGCCGCCGCTTTTCTATGACGATGGAGACTGTCTAATATAAAGTGTTTATACAAATTATGCCAATGCAAATACAACATCAACGATATTATATCCGCTTTCTACATATTTTGCGACTAAGCCTATGATAAGCCATTCCAAATACTTTAGATAAGATTCAAATATCAGTCTGCATGAAACATTAAAAGCACAATTTGAAAGATAAATATTGTGAAATTATATTTGCATATTAAAAATATACATTTACAATGTAAATAGAAGTAATATAGCGTCTCATTGTTCGCTTGTTCTTTGTCTTTTGAGTATAATAACACAATGTCTGCATGTAGAATCTCCATTACCACAAAAATCTACATACCAAGTCCATTTCAGAAAACGATATATTGAGAGTATCCACATCGCTGCCGTCGAACGATGAGCACAACATATTAATTGTCAACATATGGCGTTATTCAAGCGTGTCCTGTTCATAGCGATCGATATCATTGTGTTACGACTGCTTGTTATGAATTGCATTATAAACGCGTCAATGATCTACATGATATTTAATCAGGTAAAATACATACATATTTCATTTCACAGAATGGCATATTATTAAGAACGTCAACATCGTCGAAATCCTCGATTTTCCCCTCTGTTCGTCGCTGCTTTCGGCCATGACTGCCCTGAAGTATCACAAATACTCTACCATGCACGGGACAATAGTTTTGGGATAGGATGGTTCATATTTCACGAAGATTTTTAAGGATTGAAAACCGATACCCGGGAAACGTCACTTCTGCCCAGGAACCGACTATTAGGGACGGACCATTTGATTTTTGATGGGGGGGGTGGGTAGAATCCCAAAAAAAATATCGGGCAAGCAATTTGAACTTAAAAAAAATATCGTGCAAGAATAAACGGATGAAAAAAAATATCGAGCAAGACTTTCGAGTGGTAATCCTTATTTGCCATTCGGTGCATTTCCGCATGTAGCCGGGGTGCAGTGTCCAGGAAAATGGCATTTCAGAGACTCTAAATTTAAAAATTTCCTCGGGCCTTCGGCCCTCGCTTTCAGCCCCCTCCCAATCAAAAAGAGCTTCCTTCGGGCTACGGCCCTGTAGCCTAAATAATGGGAGGACCAGTATAATTCCAATTAGTATAATTGTTCAGTTTATTTCTTTCCTCCGACTCCTATGAGCATGTACGTAAAACTAGGAAAACTACGATTAAATCACGGTCGTAGAAACTAAATAGGTCAAAACTTTTATGGGACACAATCAAAGGCGAGGATATAAGAGCGAGAGATTGAAATTGAGTATAGGAATAGCGTACAGGGGTATGCATTTCGACCTAACAGTTTTCTTCAGCAGGCTTTTTTTAAGGGTTAAATATAATTTGAAGAGGAGAAGGAAGGAGAGTTTAGGAGAATTTGAAGAGGAGAAGGAAGGAGTTATTATTATTACGAAATAACTGAAAATAACCAATTACACAGTACAAAAACGAAGGTGAAACGATGTAACTACTATACATGTTATTAGTCAAGTTATCCTACCAAAGGCCTTGTTATTTGCGGGACATTCCAACACTACGCACCCGTATTGTTCATCGTTCGTATTGGTGAAGTGAAGCAAATTTGCAGGTCCTTCAATTAAGGGTTAACTTACTCAATGGTATAGTGAGTTTGAATGATTGTGATAAGGATGATCATGCAGTGACTGTAGGTGATTGCATCCAAATATGGTGTTAGTGTTGTAGGAGCTTATAAGACAGGGATAGGGGCGTTTGGCAATTAATCGTAGTTTCCCTAGTTTTTTTACGTAGATGTTCATCATAGGAGTCGGAGTAAAGAAATGAAGAACAACCATTTTTGGAATACTGGTCCTCTCATTATTTAGGCTACACAATGTCTTACACCAGTACTTGTCCAATTACCTATTATACACCAAAAAATGTAAAAACAAAAAACTAAAAAATGTATATACATGCATACAAAAAAATATCGTGCAAGTCCTCCGACTGACAAAAAAAAATCGAACAGTGTCAGGAGGCGGAAAAAAAATATCGAGCAAACTGAAAATCTACCCACCCCCCCATCAAAAATCAAATGGTCCGTCCCTTATTCAGCAGGCCTTTCGTCGCCTTCCGTTCTTCCCTGATCTCAAATTTCACGCCCGCAAATTATTCCCGCCCGCATCGAAAGGCCTGCGGAGAAGGTAGCACGCAAGGTGAGACAATGTCTTATATCGCCTTTAATATACTTGGTTTTATATTTGTTGAGAATGATAGTATTGGAAATAAAAAATAAAAGAAACTTTATTAAATACAATTGTATTATACTACATTAAAATTAGATAAAAGTTCTTTAAAAGTTTGTTGTTAAAACAGGACCCAGTATTAAAATATTCAATGTTCATATTTGAGTGCATCTATAATCAATACTGCCAACTGCCCATAGATATAGGAGATCTAGATTGCTAACGCATACCTAGCGCAGGCGGGGCCTACATGATAAATCCAAGATGGCGGTACAAGAGGGCAAAAAGACTATAGATTCTATTACGAAAATCAAGATTTTTGCATTTTTTTGCCATCGCATTGTTTTGAAACTTATTCGGTCAAATTTTATGGTAAAGAGAAACTTACCGCGAAGATTTTGAGCATATATATGATTGAATTGGATGAAAACTCGCAAAATTATCCAGCGATAAAAGTTCGTGTGAAATGGTCAGTTGGTCAGTTGGAGCGTTTTATTGCCAGAAATACTGTGCTATGTTAACATCTAGTCTTGTGAATGGTGTTTTATACTTGCATCTTTCATCATCATCTGCTCTGTCCTCATAATTATGAAAAATGAACTGTTATGTAACACCCCCCCATCCCCCCTCCCCTCCTTGCTTGTTAGAGAAGTAAACTGATGAGAGCACTGGATAAGGGTCTATCATCTATGGTCTGTTATAATTTGCTTTCTATGCAAATAGTGAGCAAAAATTAAAGCAAACTGTACAAGTTACATATATAGTACTATATCAGTACTATACACGAACTTTTATCGATGGATAAGTTTGCGAGTTTTCATCCAATTCAATCATAAATATGCTCAAAATCTTCGCGGTAAGTTTCTGTTTACCATAAAATTTGACCGAATAAGTTTCAAAACAATGCGACGGCAAAAAATGCAAAAATCTTGATTTTCGTAATAGAATCTATAGTCTTTTTGCCCTCTTGTACCGCCATCTTGGATTTATCATGTAGGCCCCGCCTGCGCTAGGTGTGCGTTAGCAATCTAGATCTCCTATATCTAT